TGAAGAACAAAAACCATCACCTATTACTTTAACCATCCATGCATCAGTTTACACAATATTTCTATACTCAGAGGACCTCAATTAAAATCAGTTCTGGTATTCTCTAGCTGTTGAAACTTTTCTTCCAAAAGGCACTCCATTTCTATTGTCCAAAATCATCTTTTAGTGATGTTCTGACTTTTTCTAAGCAAAATAAAAGATTTATGAGAGCAATTATTCATGCTAAAGTACACACTACTTAATTCACACACAATCTAGCTTCAGAGAACTCCTGCTGAGTTCTTCCACACACAGGTTATCCTGCCCCTCGTAGACAAGGCCACTGTGTGTTACCAGCGTTTTTCATTTACTCATTAATAACCTCAACAGAGAATAAGGAGCAGTCTTAAAACTCAGGGTAAAAGCTATAAAATGGGAGATTTGAAATGCAGTATTCTCCTGTGGGAAATACTCATTAGCATTGCAGGCAGTGTATGATCTACATGTGCCTCCAATATCCACCATAAATAGATGCTTCTTTTTCTGTCTGGATGTGAAGGCTTCAAAAAGTAAAGCAGTCATGAACCTACACAAATGTCAGAGTTTCCCCAAAATTCACCTAACAATCTGAGCCACCAAAAATGAAAATTTTCAACCCATATCCCAAAGTAATGTATTACTAGATAACCTTGGTCTAGAGTTGAGAGGGGGTGAAGTTTTACAGTATTAGCTAGTGTCAGTCCCTCTCAGTCCAGAGTTCAACAAAGAAAGAGAAGTTAACTTTCTTCTTCCCAGGAAGCTGGGGTATTTGAAAACTTCATTCACATCAACCCAGTCTATGCAACAGTCATTTAAGGGCAGTGGTTTCCACCTGCTTTGCTTATTAGAATCACCTGAGGATCTCTTTTTCGCAACATGCCAGATGAACTCAATTTGCATCTCTAAATGCTGGGCTCAGGCACTGCTATTTTTTCAGAGCTACCACAGTGATTTTAATCTGCAGCCAGATGAAAAACCACTGTTCTAAAGCAGCTGTTTTGAACCAGGAGCAATTTCGCCTACACCCCACCTGGGAACACTTGGCAGTGTCTGGAGACATTCTTGTCACAATTAGGAAGGTGTCTGTGAGTAGAGCCCAGGAATGCTGTTAAACCTCCTAAAACACATAAGGCAGCACCTCACAACAAAGAATCATCTGGTCCAAAATGTCAATAGCACCACTATTTAGAACCCTGAACTGGAAGAAGAGTTGTAAGGAGAAACAGCGTGTTCTTTCCATCTCTAGAGATATGCTCACAAAAGAAGAAAAGAACCAGTAAGAAGCTTTCAGGATGAAGACTTACAACCCTGACACTCCATCCAGCAAGGCCAAAGTAGTTCTAAACAGACCTTTTTTTAACAAAAGTGAATGATTCCCTCATGTGTGCTCTCATTGGCTGGGGTGAAGTTGAATGAGGGCACAAAGCTATTGTTCACTGGAACTTGCTCAAAAAGGCAAAGGGAATCAGACCAACTAGGATAATGAAACAACCCTGTTTCCCTTTTTTTAAAAAGAAGGAAGAAGATAAACAATAAAATGAAGAGTAATGTGTCTTCTATTTATTCCTTTTCATTTGCTAGTAACCAGCAATACATGCCTCTAGAATTAAACTCTAACTATTTGTACTACTTTTTCATCTGGATTCATAATGTCCAACAAGTGAACTACTTGTAAGGGTCTCTGATCATCAGAATCATCTCTGTCTGGAAGGTCAACAAAAAGCAGAGCTACTGAAGAACTTGAATCATCCAATACATCCATGACCTTGGCTAAAACAGTTAACTGTTTGAAAGCAATGATCTGCCAGCTAGTATCTTAAAGCAAAACTCCTGTTTCATTGTGAAAGGAAACACTTTCACCTAAGAAAGTTCCATCCAAACTTGGATTTCAATGGAATCAGGTAGTAAACCCCCATTCTCAATAACTGAGGCTGCCAGTTCACGAACATTTATAGCTGGCAGTGACTATTCAATTACTTAATCTACAAATCTGGAACACAGCAAGCAACTTGAATGAATGGGCAAATGCCTCAATGTCTAGATGTGATAAGTATTGAATTTCCTTTCTATTTGAAAATGGAACAGTCTTCAAACTGAAAAGAAATAGTGGAATAATAACTTCTAAAGAAATAAACACATTCATGAGGGTTTTGTTAAGTTTGAAGGATTTTTCTCATGTTTGTTTTTGCTTTTGTTGTTTTCTGATCAGCTACTAATTAAGAAATGGTTATACAGGCTTAGAAATATTTGAGAGGGAAAAAATAATACCTAAAATTCACATTTTCATTCGGGTTGGAAACTAACCCATTTTAACCAAAGGAAGCTCTTGGACATCGAGTTCGACTATTTTACCCACTGAGTTTGTAACTGAAAGCACAAGAAGATTTAAAGATGCCCAAAGCATGGTCAACTTAAAACAGCAATCTTTTTCAATAATGGTTCCCTCAGTGTGCACATGTGTGTGTTTTTGGAGGGAATGCATATCCTTACAGGTAGTACAATATCCTGCCAGCGTATACTTCATCTCTGTTTCAGTCACCATAATGCACATATACTTCCCAAGTGCTTTCACTGCTTCCTGTTCATGCAAAAATATCCAAGTGCTCACCCAAAACACTCATATTTCACACCAACCCCAAACAAAATGACTCTGGAAATGACTCAGCAAATCCTCAATTTGGGATTAGCCTCACAACTGGTTCCTATCTCTTCATACACCAATGACTCAAACAAATTGTGTGGGGATTTAAAAATATGAAAAAGCATGTCTTGCCATCCATATCAAAAATTAATTTGTAATGGCAGGATAAATACAAGCTACCAATGCCCACGTTTATAGGCTGATGATCCATAAACATTTCTTTGTGCCACTTCATTTTCCAATTAATTACTGAAATAAAAATGCCATGCAAATGTACTACAAATACACTCTGCTGAGGATATCAACTGTCAGCAGATCTGTCACTTAAGAATGAGAAAACCTGAAGTAGACACAAGAATTGAACTACAGTGTCATTCTATGATAATTTATGTTGCACCAAATTTTTAACTAAATTGTTCAAATTTTTTAAAACATTTTCCCAACCCACTAAGTTTATCTGAATCTGGGCAATATGCCATGATATAATGGCCATCTTTCCTTAGAGATATACCTTATTTTATGCAAACTATTGTTTAAAAGTGGCACCTCAACACTTTTCTTGTAAGTTAATCATACATTGACTAAACTAGAGGAGTTCTTTATGTAAAGGAGCCCTTTTGTAAAGAATTGTTTTGTGAGTGAATGAACCACTTGCTCCTAAGTATTTTCTTTTTAGTTTAAGAAACAAAGTTTCCTTATAATAGTGAACACATTTACTTCTCAAGCTCATTAAAAAGAAATCAAGAAATGGAAGAGGCATTATCTTTACTTTCCCATTAAACTATTACTCTCCACCAAAGTCAAGCTTCATGACCAATGACCCATCTCGTGATAGTAACACAACCAAATTTTGTTTTTAAATGACTTTTCATCTCTTGTAGAGAACTGGGTAGCCAAGGCTGCCTACAGCAATCACGGCAGCATCTCTATCGCCCATGAAAAAAGTGAACATTCAATCAACTTGGGAAAGGCACCAGCCAGGAGGCCTCGACACAACACAACAGGTGTATTGCCTTCTCCCCACACCCACCTCCCAACACAAACAACTGAACAAGCAGCAGCTTCCCCCTTCTATTTCCATTTGTGCTTAAAAGAACATAGGAAGAATTAGAAGCCAAGCCTCAAGAGTCAATTTTCAGCGCTATGAGAAAGGAATTAAGATGAAATGGAATCCAACAGGTAAATCCCCAAATACAATATTGAAAATTTACTCCTTCTTGTCACTGCTAAAATTGGCAGCCTCTTCTACTACTAGGAGCTGGCTGCATGCAGACTCCAGAGCACATTTCAAATAAAGTGAAAAACCTCAGACATTTGAATGGAAAAAAAAAAACCCTCAGTCTATAAAATCAATCATTTTAGCTCCAACTCAACCATGAGTAACATAAAAAGATTGTGGGGGTGTTTTTTTTTTTTTCTTTAAGAAATGATTTCTTTCTCTCTTAAGTTCAAAGTGGTTTCAGAACCAAGATGCAGAAAATTAAGCCTCTTCCAAAAGGTTTAACAGCTCAAGTTTAGAGCCACTTCAGCCAATGCAGATGTTACTCTTTGGAAACAAAAAGAGTGTCCAAACACATCTGTACATTTTAAAGAGGTACATTTAAATGACCAGGAAAGATGACTCCTGTGATGTAAAAGAGCATAGTGTTCAGAATATGCTTAAAGGAGTTTTGAGAGAGGGTTGGTGGGTGTTGATTGAGTAGAGAAGGGAATCAGTTGATGCATTTATTAATAGATGCAAAGAAAAGTCACAGATTTCAGGCCCCCAACACAATGGAAAAAATCTTCAAGGTAAAGTAAGGCATACTGATAGGCATTCAGTCAAACCAGCATTAAGCCTCTTTAGGGACACCATACTTCTTTTTAAATATCACTGTTTTTCATAATAAACACTCATCTCTTCCTGCTCATAAGCTATTAACTGGATTCAAAACCTTTTAGTCACCATTCTATGGGTGAGCCCTACTAGGAAACAACACACAAACAGGAACATGCTCAAGTTAAAGCTGAAAGAATCTTAGAATGGTTCTATTTTTTAGCTCAATTACCCACAGATTTCACCCTGACAACTCAGGGTCTTAAGAATTATTGTTTCTCTCTCTCCTTTAACCCTTCACTCTCAACTTTTTCAGGCTTACTTGGCTAGTAACTACATAAAATAAAAACAAATCCAGGGGAAGAAACACACATCACGATTTTGAGTCAAATGTTTGCTTCTTTCCCCAACCCACCCGGCTAGCCAGCACCTGCACTCTCTTATATGGCTGGAGAGCTCTTCATCACTCATAACCGTCTACTGAGTTGACTCCACCAAAGCAGCTCCCAGCACGTACTGACCCACCGTTTATGCCACTGTAGACATTCCGGTGATGGGGTGACGCGTCCTCTTGCGCCTGCCGTCTAAGGGTACCCTCCCTGCTGCCTCCACCGCTGCCGCCGCCGCCTCCACCGCCACCTCCTGCACTGCTGCCTCCGCCGCCGCCGCCTCCGTGTTTGTGGTCAGGGCTACCTCCATAATGCTGTTTGAGGTGCTCGGGGCTGGTCCCCCTGGCTCTCGGGAGATGCTCCAGGCTCCCACCGAGGGCATGTTTCTGAAGATGCTCCGGGCTCCCTCCACTGTGCCTGGCGTGTTCAGGGCTGCCCCCTGGCCGGTGCTTCTGGAAGTGCTCAGGGCTCCCACTCAGCACGTGCTTGGGCAGCGTTTCTGGGCTGCTCCCTGGGTGCGGGTGCCTTTGCTGTTCAGGGCTGCCCTTGCACAAGGGTTTGTGGTGCTCTGGACTGGGTCCTTTGAGTGCTTTTGGGTGATCTGGGGTCCCAGAGGCCCTGGGTTTCTGGAGATGCTCCGGGCTGGCACTCCTGTGCTTGGAGTGCTCCGGGCTGCCCTCGCTCCGGGGCTTCTGCAGGTGTTCGGGGCTGCCACCGCTCACGTGGTGCTTGTGGTGGTCGGGGCTGTCCGTGCTGCCGGTGCTGGAGGTGCTGCTGCCGTCACCCACATCCCGCACATAGGGCGCGGTGGAGGCAGCAAGCTGGCACAGGCTGGCCTGGCTGTCGATGGAGCAGCGGCTGCCCGCACAGCCCGTGCCCTTCTCCTCATCCAGCAGCACACACAGCTCCTTGAGCTCCATGTTCTCCTTCACCACCTCCTCCTGCTTCACCTCCAGCTCCTTGAGCTTCTGCAGGTATAAGGCCACTTCCTTGTGCATCACCCCGGCCGTGTAGCGACCCAGTCTCTGCCACTCCCGGGACACCCTTTTGCCTTTCTGCCGGTCATCATCCAGGAAACAGCAGAGGTCCCTCAGTTCCTGGTTGTCCTCCTGGAGTTTCTGGTTGATATCCTGAAAAGAGATATCAAGGGACATACATAAATCAGGGGTCATCAGGCTAAGACATCCTGGGAGCAGGAGCACCTGGAACTGGTGAATTCCCTTGTGAGGTTAGGGGAGGATGAAGACTTGAAGCTATCCATAAAAAGTAAAGTAACAGGTATCGGTTATGTTCCCTGCATGATACTTTACTTGCATTGTCTCGTCTTTCACCAAAACCTTAGGGGATGATAATTATTATGGTTCTGTTACAGAAGGGGAAACTGGACCTCCCAAAGCTTCACTTGTCCAAGGTCATCCAGTCAATACTTATGGAGCAGGAGCAGCCAATTAACAAGAAATCATTCAGTAGGAAAACAAGGCTCCCCTGCCCCACCCTGGAGAAAGAAAGATGGCTGCTCATGACCTGTGAATGCTTAAAAGCTCTGAGACAACAGGCCTTTCAATAGAGCAAACAACATTGCTTAGTTTTTCAGCCCTGACATGGATGAGCAGCCACCCCCCATGGCCACTAGGAAAATGCACAGTTGCCCCCTAGTGGCATGTCAGTCCACATCCAACCCCAGGTGGCACACACCCACCTGGACATCTTGTCTCCCAGGCATCACACCTAACACAGCAACACTGAGCCCTTGATACTCAAATCCCCCTTCCCATTTGCATCTCTCTGCAAATGCCACCTCCACTTATCCCACTGCTCTTTAAAAGAATCCAAGGTTATCCCTGGCATCTCCTTCTCCCTCACCTTCCACTTCAGAGCCAAAAAGTCTTTGGAACTCTACATCCAAGATTAAGTTCATCTTGTTACTTCCATGTTTAAAACCCTTTTATAGCTTCTCCCTGCCCTTAAGATAAAGTACAAAATCCTTCAAGTCTCACAAGCCCCAAATGCTCTGGCTTAGTCTACTTCTCCAGCATAAATGGTGATAAATTTGTTCATTCATGAATGTTTAATAAGCATCTCCTATGTATCAGGTACCATCCAGGAGCTAGGGATCTATCAGTGGACACAGCAAAGACCTTGGCATCCTACAGCTTTCATTCTGGTGGAAAGGAATGGCAAAAAGCAAGTATAGAACATAATGTCATGCAGTGCAAAGTTCTGGAGAGAAAACTAAAGTAGGTTAAAGAACACTGTTTTGCAATAGAAGGTACCTCTAGAGAAAAGGGAAACATTTGAACAGAAACCTGGGTGAAATGAAGAAGCAAACACTTGAGTGAAGATGATCCCAGGCAGAGAAAGGGCAAGTATAAAAGCTCTGAGACAAGTGTGAGAGCAAGAGCTCAAGTGAGAGGGAGGCCAGGGGGTGCCTAAAGCACAGGGAGCAAGTCTACCAAAACTGGCTGGGGTTGGGGAGGGGAGGGGAGGAGGGAGTCAGGATAAGGTGGAAGCTGCAAGACCGGCTAGGAGGCTACTGGGCTGGTCCAGGTAGAGGGAGATGATGGTGGCTTGGTCTCATGATAGCGTGGAGAAGGTGGGAACCCCCTCTCCCCAAAATGCACTGAGCACCACCAACACTGGCCTTGATCCAGGTCCTCAAAGGGCAAGCCCTTCCCCCTCTTTCACTTGGAATGCCTTCCCCCAGCCTTCTACACAACTATCAGGTTTCATTTTATAAGTCACTTCCCCATAGAAGCTGTTCTAAAGGCAGTCCACCCCCAATGCAAAGAAGGCCCACTTCTGTGCTCTACCAGCACCCCTCAACCTTTTCCTCTGTTATATTTATAATTTGTAACCACATACATATGAGTATGCCTGTCAATTCAAGTCTGCATCCTCACAAGAGTCATGAGAATGAAGACCTCATCTATTCTACTCATTTCTGTGTATCCAGAACACAGAACCTCCACTGTAGATACCTGAAACACATAGTGAAGTCCCCACTTACTCTCTATTCACCCATATAGTCAAGGGGCCAACTGTTTCCTGAAGCACTGTGGTTTGCTAGGGATGAAACAGGCAGCTATGGGACTGCTACGTAAGATTTCCTCTGCTTAACAAAGCCTGAAAATCTCTGGTCTTGTGAAGCCATCATCCAGTCCAGAACTTGAGGTACTCAGCAAGGGGACTGACTTCTCTTAAACTCAGGCTGATTCCAACGCTGCCCCTGATGCTGACTAGCAGATGACATATGAAACATCTGCTAACCACTTCTTCACTTCCTGACAGCCAAGATGGGAGTAAATGTGGGGCCCAAGGAAGAAGCCTGTGCAGCTTAGTTCTCACTTCCAGTTCTGACGCGTGGCATAATCAACAACAACTCTGTTCCCTTGTCTCTAATACCCACCTCTTCCTTTTGCTTCCCACTGCCACCCTCTGACTTCGGGCCTGACCTTTACCAGCAGCCCCCTACCCAGCCTTCCTGCTGGGTCTGCCCTACCCTCTACGTTCCCCACCCTCTCCAATCCAAAATCAGCCAGACTGATCCTTCACAAACACTCACTGCGTATCTCGCCCCTCCTTCTTACCAACCCCCACCACCTCCCTTTCCTGGGGAAAATGGATACGCCCCTTGGCCAGGCCAGGAAGGTTTTCCCCTGCCTTTCCACCTTTAGCAGCCTGTCAGCTAATCATGAGCTGTGACTATGTCTGTGCCTTCCAACTAGCCAATAGCATCTTCTCCCACATGTAAACTTACCTGAGAGGAGAGATTCCACTGAGAAGTCACCCCAGCATAGAACAGCACCCATGAATGAATGAAGTAACCTTCCTACTCACTGCATAAGGCCTGTGTCACACATCGGCTAGAACACTAAGCATCATTTTTTTTTTCCCTTTCTAATGTAGATAGCTTAGCTTCTAGAGGGCAGAGTCCATTCTAAAAGTCTCTCTGTGAATATGTAACATCCTTGGCATTATGTGTTGCATATAGTGGACACTTAATATGTGTTTATGCACAAAATAGGCTACAGCTATAGCCACTGAGAAAGGATTACTCATTGTTTTCAGCAAGCCCCTGCTATGTTGGAATCTACAGTAGTAAGAGAATAAAGTACCCCTTGATACTGATGCTTTAGAGGAAATCAGAAGTTGTGGATATTTGGAAAAAATACTAAACAAAATTAATCTTTCTAACCTTCAAAAATTATTCAACATTTTGTTTAATATTGGCATTTGATAGAAAGCTCAAGTCATTACTTTTTCATCCAAATGAACTGCCATCTGGAAATACTTCCCTTTGACTGACCAATAGCTATTCCTGATTTCTCCAAAACTGGAAAGTAAGCAGGACTGGTGCCAACTTGGGCTTCACAAAGTTAATGCACTTTCCAAAGGAAATGAAACATATACTTCTCAGCATCCAGATGGAGTAGACAGGAGTGGGTATAGTGACATTCAGTTTTCTTTATCACAGTTCCTTCTACCTATTATTAGTTTTCTTAGGAATAAGGAACCAACCAACCTGATCATAACCCTGGGAGCCAGTTTCTTCAAATCTGCCACATTAAGACTTGGACTTTCTTTTCCAAAATACTGTCTTTTTAACATTGCCACAGGCCACCAGATGTTATACAAGTTTCTAAAATGGACTTTTACAAGTTTAAATGCACCTCATAGAATACCACCCAGAATTTCGATCTTGTGCCTACAGACTATAAAGTACTATATCTATGGTTAAAAAAGAATTGTCTTAATTCATTCTTTTTCTTCATTGCAGGGTGGAAGGTTGGTATGGTAGAGAGCAAGGAGGGAAATTAATGTAACATAGATGACAAATCTCAGAGATTCAATTCCCCAAAATCAGCTTCCACTGGGATATTGAGTCAGAACAGCCTGAGTGTTGGTATATATTCAGCAGTCCAAAGACATGGTTCTCAGGAAGCTAATTCCTTACAACATCAAAACTTTAATCAGAATCTCTTTTTCCACCCCTTTTAGGACCATACACTCTAAACAAAGAATGTCAATGAGCCAAAAAGAAAAGAAAGCCTAATTTGAACATTTGAAGCCTGTGTGTCCTTCAGAAAGCTATCTAACCTCACTGGGGTTTCTTCTTCATATCATTTAATGCTCATAAAACCTCATGTGGAATTAAAATCCCCCATGAAGCAGGTGAGAAAACTGAGGCTTGGGGAGGTTAACAGTTTGCCCAAGCTGCCCTAATTGTCAGACTCCAAATCCTTTATCTTTCCACTGCTTCTACACTGGCCTGCCTCCCAGATGTTTAAATGCAAACAAATTAGACAGTGTTGGAACCCAGTCACAGGCCCCTCAAAAAAAAAAAAAAAAAGATGCTTCCATCTTCCATGTCTACAGCTACAGAAATACCTAGTAGCTTTAAAAATATTTAGAGGCAGTTTCAAAGTCAGCTCACAGAGAGGGGCATTAAAAAAAAAGCATTGTGGCTTTACTTAATATTTACAGCACTCAAATGAGCATGCCAAACCATCAGAGATCTCCCCCCACCAAAAAAATAAAAATAAAAAAAGACTTTCTTCCTTCCTTCCTATTAATCCAAAATAAATAGATGCATCTATCATTTATTCAGTCAACTACATTTATGGATTACTATGATGTCCAAAGAAGCTCCAAGCCAAGATGATAAAGAGAAGGAAGAAAGCTGGCCAGTCCGCAGAGTAAAACCACAGCCCCTGAGGGGTAGGCCTTGGGGTCTACTATCCTGCAGATGCCCAGGAGATGGCAAGGAGGGATAGAAGCTCCATCAGAAAGTAACCAGCCTCCATCATTTCTGAACTTAACTAAGGAATTGAACTGGAAAGTCTTTTAATGTCAAGTCATGAATCTAGACCACAAGGAGACTTTCCTACTTGAGTGTAAGTGTCCTTACCTGCCCTAATTAGCTATTTCTCTACATGGAGCTACTAGAATGAAGACCAGGCACCCCACCACTCATGCCACCCCCTACCCTACTCACACATAGATCCTCACACACACAGTCAATCCATACGCTCTAAAAGAACTTTCAAGTATTTCTGAGCTATTATGTCAGTCAATGCTCCATACTATAAAAATCTTTAAGAAATTGATTAAAAACTCTTCCACGTCACATTATGGTTCAAATCATGGAAGCAGCTTAAATTGGAGGATGACAAACTAAAACCATTGTCCAGCTTTGCTTAAGAAACCCAGATCCTGGAGACTCACTGCTATATATTTATTTATATGTCCTCTCCTAATGAAAATACCTATCATTTTTGGTAGTCAAGTATTAAACCTTCCCCTACATTATCATAACTTATTATCACAACACCCTAGGAAACAGTTATTGCCATTTGCATTTTATTGATGAATAAAATAAGAATCTGAGAAATTAATTACCCAAGCACACGGTCCTGGCAAATGTGAATTCTAGATTCAAAGCTACCTCTGAGATCACCTTCCCACTACACTAGCCTGCCTCTATTCCCCAAAGAGCCTGGTACTTAGTAAATACTCCATTAGTAATGAATTAAACCAAAGGAGAGAACAGGCATTGGGATTTTTCTGACTGTGGGATCTTCCTAACTAGACCCACTCCAGGGACTACCTGACAGTGAGTCTGGGCCTCAGAAGAGGGCCATCCCCACCAGGACTGGACCCAGCACACAGGTAAGCCTTGGGCCTGCCGCCCGCCCACCCCTCCTTGCCCCAGAATCCCAGAACTGGAGCGCTGAGGCAATTAAAGAACAGCTCTACTGCCTGAGAAGTGGGGCAAGAGTGGAAAGGGGCTAAGAACAACTTGTGCCTTCGGGAATTTATTCCCTGAAGGCCCTGCAGTGACTTCATTTGTGTCTGGCTTCCTATAAACAAAAGCAGAACAATAAGAGGAAGGAATACCAGGAGGCACCAGCGCGAGCTGGAAGGAGAGGAAGTTTGCGGTGCACGCTGGCAGGGCGGTTCCCGGCCACCGGTCTGCTGCAACCTGGCGGGCTGGGCACGCTGCTCGCACACTCGGCGCTCTCCAGGGACAAATATAAATCAGTAGGTTTGGGGGAACTTTCCCCCCTTTTCCTAATAGCAGAGGGAGGGCTGGCTCCAGAAGAAAGAATCACTGACCAACATTCGGTCAGTGATTCTTTCAAAACCATGCACCTTTCACACGGCGTCCCTTTGCTCCACCATCCTCTTCCAAGCTGGATAAAATTTAAATCAAACTAGGGGTTAATTAGGGAGGGGAGTAAAGCAACTCCAGGTGACGCCATCCAAACTCGGAGACAAGGAAAGAACAGGACGTTGGTGGAAGACGTGAAGGCAGAGCTTAATCAACTCTGCACCGGTTGCCTCACGCCGGCTCCGAGGGTGGCGCCCCTGCCCAACCCCTCTTCCTGGCAGTGGCGCCCTTTCCTCGTCCTCTGCCCGCCGTCCTCTGCCCGCCGAAGCGCTGCCGGCGCCGGAGCAGCCGTATCATCGACGCCCAAAGGCAAAGATACCCAGGACTCGCTCCCTCACTAGCCTTTTCCCCTGACTGTAACCGGCTCTCCAAAACACTGATTTTTCCCTACGAAAATTAAAGGTTCCGGGTACCCATCACCTCCCTCCCTGCCTGCCTTTCACATCCTCACCGGCCTCCCCTCCATCTGCAGAGAGCGCGAGCTAGATGCTGGCGCGCCAGGTGTGGGGAAGAGGAGGGGAGCAAACGCTTCCAAAGTTTGGAAAAGTTTCCAATGGGCCGGGGATTGGGGGCAGGGGGTGCTGACTGGGAGAAAGGGGAGGATCACCTGTTGATGGAGGGAGAGAAAGTTTGCCTGGCCCCACCTCCCCGGGGCGCCCCGCTCCCCGCCCCGCCGCGCCCAGCCTCCCGGCCTGGCCCCGCGCTCACCTTGAGCCCGCGGATCTCGCCCAGGTGCAGCTGCAGGCGGCGGTTCACCTCGCGGATGAGGTTGCTGTGGTCCAGCATCGCGCTCACCTTCTCGGCCTCGGCGCGCCGCAGGCAGCGGATCAGCTCCTCCTTGCTCCACTGCAGCAGCTCCTCGTCAGACACTTTGGACAGGTCCTCCACGGCGGCGGCCGCGGACGACCCAGCCGGGGCTGGGGGACAACTTTCCGCCGCCGCCGCTGCGCCTCCGGCCGCCTTCGACATGGTATCCGCGCGGTAGCAGGTGTGAGTGGGTGGAAGAGGCAAAGCGACTCCCGAAGGCGCGGGCGCGGGGCTGCCTCCGCCCACACCCCTGTGCGCTCGGGCGACTCAGCGGCACCGCCCAGGGGCCGCTGGGTTGGGGCGGCGGGGGTCGCGCTGGGCGGCCATCCTACCTCGCCATCCCCGCGCGCGCGCCCGCGCACCCCCGGGGCCGGGCAGCCACCCGCTCGCTGCTGCCGAGGCGGGTCCCAACTCCGCGCAAGTCCATGGTGAGGGGCGCTGGGGAGCGGGAGCCGCCGCGGGAAAACCTCAAGGACAGGCGGAGGCCGCCCTTGGGGCTGCACCCCGTTCCGCTGCCCTCTCCTCCGCCCTAATTCCAGACCGTCGCCCCCCACACTCTTTCTTTCTCACACACGCACTTTCCTCCCCTTGCCCAGCTGCGGCCCCGGCGTCCGTCCTCTCCTAGCCGAGTAGGGCGCGCCGGGCTCTGCGGCGCCCCCCGGGCTGCTCGAGCGACGCCGCCGCGGCTGCCCGAAGGCGGCCTGCGCTGCGCCCGCCGCGGCTCGGAGGCTGCTCCGGGAAGTCTTCGATTTGCAGAGCCGAGCCCAGGATGGGTGGAGGGCGGGGGACCGGCTGGAGGAGGAGCATGGAGCCCCGGCAGCCCGCAGCCGGCAGCACCTCCTGCGCCCGCCAGACGCGGCTGCCCCTTGACCGTCGCCGGGCTCCTGAGGAGCGCGGCCCGCTATCCCGCCCGGGAGGGCTGGGGGCGCGGCTGCTTCACCAGCCGGGGCGCGGGTGGGGCTGGGAGGGGAAGAAGGTGCGGAGCTGCGGCCGCCCCGGCCCTGGGAGGCGCGCGCGCGCCACCGTGCGGCCGAAGAGTCTCCCTCTGCCCGCCGCTCTCGAGCTGATCACCCGGCAGGGGGGACGGCTGCCAACCAAAAGGAGGGGTTCTTGGTATTTGGAGAGATTGGGGACCAGGAAAGATGGGGTAGCAGAACCTGAGGGATAAACAGATATTTCTACTTTGGAGAATGGGAGAAAAGGCAGTTGGCAAAAAGAAAAAAGTGGGGGAGTGGGGGGCTTAAGAATCCAAATAGTCTAAAAAGGGGAAAAAGAAGCTTTAGGAATCACCCACACCCACCCCCAGGCCTTTGTCTTTCCTAAAAAATCTACTATTTTGTGAAGAAGCTTCAGGGGAAGTTACTGGTTCTTTTAAAATTTTATTTGAAAAATATCAAAGCCTTTAGGAGAAAATAGAATACCTTCATCCCCTGCTTCCTGGGGTCTGGATTTTAAGGTCAGCATTCACCTCCCTTCAGAGCAAAGCAGGGCCCCCTTAGGCAAGCTGAAATGCCAGCCACGGAGATTTCCCTTTTCCTCCGTGCCTAAGGCTGCCAAGTGTTCACTGGGTCAGCTTTTTGTGATGGTAATTTCTGGGCGGAGGAACTCTGATTCCTCGGGTTCTATCTTTGGGCTACTCAATTGTAAAGTCAGCTGGAATTGTCTCCAAGCTGAAAACAGGCTTTCTGCTTAAAGAAGTGGATGCACTTGGCCCTGAGCATGTCACTTCTGGGATGGAGATGGGGCCAGAAACCTACAGGCAACTAGCCCCACAGTGGGTCAGTTAACCAGGGTGCAGAGGGAATGTCTCCATTTGGTAGGATGAGGGTCTAAATCAGAATCCCTCCACCTGCCAGCAGTGTGTGTCCCCTGATAAAGGTGCCACCTGTTAAAAGATGATCAGCTGGACACTCTTCCCAACTGTAGGCCCAGACCTCCCTTTTCTCAGAGTATTTACTTTAGCAAATCTTCTATTAAAAATTCTTTCTCTGACCCTTTCCCAGCCTCTTGCTAAGTTTTATAACCCAGGAATATATTTCTCACCTGGGAGGGATCCCCTTGAAATGTAATTGTCAAGGAAAAATAGTGTCCCATCTTCCAGTCCCCGTGGAGGGGAGGAGCTAACTTCAGTGGGTTCCATTAGCAAACACAAATGGCCTCGGTCCTTGGACCAGCCTCCACCTGTGTCCTCCAGCCCTTTTCAGCTAGTGTAAGTTAACTACCTTCCTTCTTTTGTTTCAGCAGAGTTGACTCAGTCTCTCTCTCCTTTTGAAGTAGTGTTGAATAAAGACCCCCTTGCCTGTTTAACTGTACCTGATGTACTTTTTCTTTGACGCCTCCCCCTGTCTCATGCCCACAGAAGGCTCTCCTCAACGCACACAGTTTCTAAGACCAGTTTTGGCACAGGAAGGACAATGAAAGTCAAAAATACGAGTCCTAGCTCTGTTACTCGTTAGTTCTTGAACAAATCATCTGACCTTACTGGCCCTTAGGCAGCTAATGATACAATGTACATGAAGTGCTTTACACCAGAGAAATGCAACCTTATTATTACTGATAATACTTCTGAGCAGCCTCTTTTCTGGAAATAGGATCGAGGACTTCTGTTTATTCCTCCATCACAGGTTCTTCAAGAGTCCTATTCTAAAATGAAACAGCTAGCCCCCTTCTCTGCTAACTCCCTCAGATCAGTTAATACCTAAGTAAATACTAGAAGGCAAAGAGATGGCTGAGGGGAGGAATTGAACTTGCATTGGGAGAACAAGAAAGAAGGAAAGCCAAGACAAAAAGTTCTCCACAAATTATATACACTAGCAGCTGCTAGATCACCTTGAGGTTTTAATGTTTCTAAGTTTGGTCATTGATTCAGGATAATTGATGAATTAATAATGTTGCCTCATGTTGCTAAGGTCAGGTATGATGTCATTTAGGAGCTTCACTTGGTTACTAAAAACAAACAGTCACTTAAAGAAGGCATTTATTTTTTCTCACATAACTGGTATTCTAAAAACAAACAGCTGAGGGGTGCTCTGGTGTCTTCATGATGTCATCAAAGACTTACACTCTATCTCTCTGCTTAGCCATCCTTGACATGGTTGCCTCATGTTCATAAGATGGCTACTAGAGTTCCAGCCAGCAATCTACACTTAAAGCAGGAAGAAGGGAAGAAAAAATGCTAAAGGGCACCTGCTTTTTAAAAACGTTTTCCTGGTAATATGATCCAGTGAGTCTCATTTATATTCTAAAAGGCAGAGCTTGCCATATGACCATCCCACCAGCTGCAAAGAAAGGTAGGACTGTTTTTTTTAAGTTGGGCATATTACAATAACATCACAAGTAAAACCAGTGTTCTTTTATAGTTTTACTCGAAAATATTAAGGGGGTAAAAATGTTTTTGTTATGTGGATACACTGTATAATACTGAAATCAGGGCTTTCAGTGTGCCTGTCACCAGAACAGTGTTCATTGTACCCAACAGGTAAGTTTTTATCTCTCACCTCCCTCCCACCTTTTCCCTTTTTGGTTTTCAATGTCATTTACATCTCTTGGTTCCCATGTGTACCCATCGTTTAGCTCCCACTTGTTAGTGGGAACATGGAGTGTTTGTTTTTCCTTTCCTGAGAAATTTCACTTAGGATAATGATTTCTAGTTCCATCCAAGTTGCTGCAAAAGACATTATTTCATTCCTTTTTATGGCTAAGTAGCACTCCCTGGTATATATGTATACAACATTTTCTTTACTGACTCATGAATTGATGGGCACTTTGGTTGATTTCACATCTTTGCAATTGTAAATTGTGCTGCAATAGATGTTACAGTGCAGGTGTCTTTTTGATAAAAAGACTTCTTTTCCTTTGGGTCGATACCCAGCAGTGGGATTACTGGATCAGATAATAAGTCAACATTTATTTCTTTGAGGAATCTCCATACTATTTTCCATAGAGGTTGTACTAATCTGCAGTCCCACCAATAGTGTATAAGCTTTCCTCTCTCTCTGATCCATGCCAGCATCTACTATTTTTTGACTTTTTAATAATGGCCATTCTCCATACTTATAGCAGTAAGGTGGTATTTTATTATGGTTTTAATTTGCATTTTTCTAATGATTAGTGATGTTAAGCATTTTTTAAATATGTTTGTTAGCCATTTGTCTATCTCCTTTTTAAAAACTTCTGTTCGTGTCTTTTGCCCACTTTTTGATGAGGTTGTTTTTTTCTTGCTGATTTGTTTGAGTTCCCAGTAGACTCTGGATATTAGTCTTTTGTTGGATGTATAATTTACAAATATTTTCTCCCATTTTGTAGGTTACCCATTCACTCTATTTGACTATTTCCTTTGCCATGTAGAAGCTTTTTAATTTAATTGAGTTTCATTTATTTATTTTTGTAGATGCTGTATTTGCCTTTGGGGTCTTAGTCATAAATTCTTTGCCTACGCTGATGTCTAGAAGAATTTTTCCTATGATTTCTGCTAGAATATTTATGGTTTCATGCCTTCATTTAAGTCTTTTAGACCTCTTGAATTGATTTTTCTATATGCAAAAGATAGGGGTCCTGTTTCATTCTGTGTGTGGAATTGCCCATCAATACATGAGTGAATTAATAAAATGTGATATATGTATACCATGAAGTACTACAGGGCCATAAAAAACATTAGTGAACTAAGACCTTTTGTAACAACCTGGATGGAACTGAAGACCATTCTTCTAAGTGAAGTGTCATGAGAATGTAAAAGCAAACACTACATGTACTATTAAATTGGAACTAATCAATCAACACTCATGCGCACATATGATAGTATTAATAAAACTTAACAGAAATCAAGCAGGTGGGTAAATACATACCTAATGGGTATAATACACACTATCTGGGTGATGGGCACACTTATAACTTTGACTCAAATTGTACAAAAGCAATTCATGTAACCAAAATGTTTGTACCCCCATATAATATTCTGAAATTTAAAAAGAGAAATGTAATACAAACCACAAATGCAAGCCACATATATAATTTTAAATTTTCTAATATTTTCATTTAAAAAGTAAAAAAGTGATATTCATGTTAATATATTTTATTTAACCTAATATATCTATAATATTATTTCAACATGTAATTATTCAAAATAATTAATATTTTTTATAGTAAGCCTTCAAAATCTAGTATATATTTTACACTTACAGCACATCTCAATTCAAACCAGCCACATTCCAAGTGCTCCACAGCCACAAGTGACTAGTGACTACCATACTGGACATTGCAGCTGAAACACATTTCATTTGGAAGGCGTAGCAAAATGAGGGTGGCACCTGCAGTGGGCTGAATAATGCCCCACCCAAAAGACATCCACCACAAGTTCATCCTTAGAACCTGCAGATCTTAGCTTATATGGCGAAAAAGGACTTTGTAGATATGGTTACTTTAAAGATTTTTAAATGGAGAGATTATCTTAGCTTATCCAGGTGAACTCAAAATGCAATCACATGTTTCCTTTTAAGCAGAGGGAGATTTCACACAGAAGAGAAGGCGGTGACCACAAAGGCAGATATTGGAGTGACATACCTGAAAGTTAAGGAATGCCAGCAGCCACTAGGAACTGGAAGAGTCAAGGAGTACAGATTGTCCCCAGAGCCCCTGGAGGGAACACAGCCTTTCTGACACCTTGATTTTGGCCATCTAAGACTCCTTTCAGACTTCTGGTCTCCCATGAGAGAATACATTTATTTTGTTTTAAGCCACTAAGTTTGTGGCCACAATAATAAACTAATACAGCTCCATTTAAAAGAAAGCACTACATTTTCATCTGTATTATTGTAGTTATCACAGTTTTTCTTATTTTATACCTGGTGGATACCTATTGATTTTTTTTCTTTTTGGAGGGCAGTGATCTGCCTTATTTATCAATGCACCTCTGCACCTAGCAAGTGAGGTGTTTGTTGTCAGA